CCCGGGGCTGAGCTCCGTAACACTCCCGTGGAAATGCTTCAGCGAGTGAAGCATTTACCCTGCGCCGAGGCTGCTCTGCCCGCAGTGCCCGGACAGCTCTGCCGGCTGGACACGGATGCTGGCTCTGTGCGCCGGCTTCAATGACTGTAATAGCTGCATCACAGGCATCTTTCAATGTATCTTTCAATGTTACGAGATACCTCAAAAACGTACCTTTTGTCCGAAGTGCTTCTGAAAAGTAATGACACCCCAAAGCCAAAACTTTGTGCGTATTATGAAATACGGTGTTGCAGTTGGAAACAGTGCAGTCTTATTATTTAAAAAACCAAAACCAAACAGACTTCTAAAAGACACTATAAACTTATGCAACAAGCAGCACTGAATTATAAATGAAGGCCTTGGTTTATGTTTCTCAGGTGAACTTGGATAAGGTGGTTGTGGCCAAGCTTGCTGGCTGCAAGTTGCAGAGGGAAGTTTTGACGAGCATCATGTGCTGTGTAAGGCCTACTGATCAGTCTTACTTGCTATAACAGCAAATTCCAGTAGTGGCGAACTTCATGCTTAAATTCCTCTGTACTTCACAACATGTTAATTACCTTGTAAATATTATGAGGTGATAAGGTATACAGGACAATGTTATTTATTACACCTGGCATTCTTGGGTGATTTTTTTTTTTTAATGCAGGCAGTGTAAAATTTCTGTCTTTACTGTCTCTGGAAATAGAGGAGATGAAGTTTTGTTCAGTTTTAGACCTTAAATGTATGTTTTCAAAGTGGAATAAAAGATAGTATGATTGAGGCAAAGCAAAATGTGATATGGAATGTACTTGTTCTAATACTGCCTCAATGAGTATACTACTTATTTAATTTAATACATTCTGTAGTCCTGAAAAGTTCAAGACTATTCACTATTTGATGGTAAAATTTGAGTCTTTACTCTCATTAACAGAGTAGACAGTGACATAATACTTGTGTGTTTGCCATCCTATAGGGATAGGATAAATATTGTTTCATTAATGCCTTACAGGTGAAAGGGAAGCCAAGTCCTGAGACCATTCTCCCTTAGTTCTCATTACAGATTATAAAGACCTTTTCAGAGGAGTAGCGTTTGAAATAATTGTTAACCTGCGTCAGTCATGCAAAACAAACAAAAAGGGATTTTGCCCTAGGTACTTAAGAGAATCCATGCTTTAGTGTACATGGCTCAGCTGTGAAGCTGAATTGCTTGCAGAGAAGAGAGACTGACAAGCCCATTTGATGTGCAAGTTATAGTATTTGTATTTACAGTATCTTTGTTTGCAGTTTGTATTTATATTGTATGGAAAAACTAATAAGAAATTGGTGAAAGTCTTGTGGTGATTTCGCTTTAGATTCAGTTTTATCTTCCATGTATTCAGTATTATCTTCCATGTATACATTTGGAAACCACACAGGACATTATGTGGGCTTGCTGTCAAAAAAGTTGAAAAGTGATTTTCCAAGTTCGTCAATACAATAAAAACCGGATTAATGTTGTTTCTAAAACTCATAATGAATTGTCAGAATGAAGGTAATAGGTTATAAAGAATGACTGAAAACATGTTGCCTTGTCTGGTGATACTTTAGGACTTTTTTTCCCCCAACTATTTTCTCTCATGGAGATCATAAAGTTTTCATGGTGTACCTGTGGAATATTATAGTACACGGGCTTCCAAAATGTTTCATTGGTAAGGCAAGTGTAGAATAGATAAGCTTTTACTAATAATATTCCTTCTGCGGATGTTACACTGCATTCCCTGGATGATTACATAGAAAAGTCATGCTTGATGTTCTAAAATAATTTTTATCCTCTTTGATTTAGAAGATACAAATACTGAAGACTAGTGCTGTGAGACATTAGCCATATGTTTGTAAATTGCCAGGTGTATTTGAGCACAGTTGGGAACTTTGTTACTGACTTAAAATATTCACATCTAGAAATAAGAGGACAGTTGAAAATGTCATATTTGAAAGCTTCTTGGAAATTTGTGTTTGTGGTTGTTGTGCTTTTTAATATTTTTTCCCATGTTCTTTTCTACAACATGTATTTGTTACTGCTTAAGTGGTGCAGGTCTGTTAATACAATTATAGCCTTGTGTACAACTGTGGAAAAAAACTTACATCAGATTCAAGCTTGGGACTCAGTTTTGCCCACTTTATGTATTTGAATAATCCCACTAATGTTATAGAATCTCACACTTTCAAGGGCAGCAGTGACTTAGCTTGTGTTTTGGGATGTTGTGGAAGCTCAGGGTTTTTAATGTTTTGCAATGTTCAGGAGTGATTTTTCTCTCCAACTACTTACTGTACTGTACTGTGCTGATTTGTTTTAAAGGCTAGTGTCCCAAAAGAGAGGGCCACTTGAACTTTAAGATCTGTAATTCAGATAGACAGAGAGACATAAAGGCAAGAATGTGAGACTTGTAGCAACATTTTCAGTCACTAAATATATAGATGTGATTTCTCTGTTCATGGCTCCCTCAAGCTATGGCAAGCTGAGAACTTGCTGGTCATGACAGTTCTTCTGGAACTGGCTTATTGTAAGCAGGGAAACAGACCAAGTATCAATTTTATCCTCCTACTACTTGATGAAAATATTAAAAGATAGGTATGGACTGAAGAGGATGAAGCAGATGAAAAGGGGAGAAAGGGTTAGAGGAATGCATACTGTTTTTTGAAGTTCCCTTGAAACTCTTTCAAGTTCTTGGAATACTGAGTAATTGTAAAGTATTGCTTTGGGGTTTTTTCCCTGTTAATTAATAGGGGCTTGAGTGGGACAGGAATTTGAAAAGGAAAATTCTTCTATTTTTCCATCATTCAATGCATTTTAAGTAGGCCTCATGTTTATTATATTCCTTAGTGGTACCAACAGAGTAACACACCAAGGAGGAATGAAATGGAATCTCAGTAATCTGAATTTTTCAGCAGTTGGATAATCCTTGGTTTTCTTACTATGAATTCAGGGCTTCTCATATCTTGGTTTCTACATAATAAATAGTCCAATGCACACTGCTGATAACCATTGACTCAAAACAGATGGGGTTTTTTATTGCTTGCCTATAACGAGTTCTGCATCACAAATTCTGAAGCTGCAAGTGATCTTCATTTAAATCTTTATCTGCACTCCTGTCCCACTCCTGTCAGTGGTAACGAATGCATGCTATGAAAAGAAAATTATCCTTTCTGTTCTCACTTCACTTTCCATTGAGGTCTAAAACCTTTTAAAAATACATTTGTATATTTGAAATAGTTTATAGTATACTTCTGCTAAAATGTTTCAAGAGTACTTGCTAACTGTATAGCTAAGAAAGTGCTTGAGAAGCATTGGATGTCAGAAAACCAGAGAACTTTACAAGTTAAGAGATTGTGAAAGAGTTTGCTTTGTGAGTAGGGAAAGCAGTTTCCATTGCTGCTCTCATCTTTTGGGGAGGTGAAAACACTACAAATTTTAGCATGGGATTTTGTAACTTCTGCTAGATTGGTCTGAATGAGAAAATTTACTATGTTTCAGCAATTAAATGTAATTTGCCCTTTTTCCATAGAAAAGAAGGGCAGTTTATTCCTTACCTTTTCACTGGAACTTGCTTTCTCTCGTCTTGTGGACAGCAGAGACTGTGAGGACTGAAGATACTGAAGTTATTTAAGCAGGGGAACTTTCATCCTGTCTCTTTCCTGGACATTGCTGTAGCTCAGGGATGCATGGTAAAAGACTTTCAGTCACAGCAGAAACTGTGCTCATTAAAAGTAGCAAATAAGAGGCAAGAAGAAATGAAATAACATGGTGAGAGGCATCATCAGAGACTTGAAAATACATTTGGATTGATTCTTTCATGCATGTAAGAGAGTTGTGCTGTGACAGATGAATAAAATAATGTGTTAGTTATTACAGCTTGAAAGGGATTGATCTTAATTCTGTTTTAAGTGCTGACCTCAACATTGATTATTTACCACTCCAGCAACTACCTGATAATGGCCTTTATTTAGGCTGCTGCTTGCTAAGAGCGAATTTAACCATCACTGGTTTCTCACATAATTTCTCATTCCCTTTCTATCTTCCCTTCCCTTGTTTGCTAGTAACTGAGGAGGGAATGAGGCTTTCATGTTTTTGATGGTGTGGAGCTGCTAAATGATTGTTTCAACATACTTAATGACATTTGAGTCTTAATAAGCAATGTTCAACTTGCTCTTTTGAAAAATTAGTAGAGAATCCTTTGATGGCACTCCAAGATATACAGCTTGAAATAATCCTGTAGTGAGATAGGGCAACAATTTTTTCTCGAGATATCTTTTTCTTCCTTGTTTCATCCTGTAGAATAATTTGCTGGTTTTTATCCCAATTCCACCTAATTTGTTTCTTGCCTCCTTGTCTGCTCAGGAATGTGCATGCTCCCTGTGAAACTCTCTAGTATCTCATTCTGATTTCAGTGACAAGTTGAGGACTGCTTTTACTTAATTGATCTATATTTATTCAAAATAAAACCCATGATGAGAGACTAGCAGTGTCTGAAGTTCTGACATCTTCATTTGTTTATCCAGTGTAAAGTAGAATTCTAGTATTGCAATGCTACCATAACTGTGATAGCATCACACAGTGTTAAAATACAAAGTGATTGTGTATGTGAGTTTTTTAACCAGTCTGTCATTTGCATGGGGCTGTGTGTTGTTGATTTTAGCATTAGTGAAAATGGCTGCGGTAACTCTGAGATAAGGCTTTTATTCTTTATTTCTCTGGAAGTGGCTGGCTCTGTGTCTTTCATCTCGAGGCATGTGAAATTAACAGGTCAGGAAATGCTGGGGACTATTTGCTTATGTGTGCAAAGTATGTGCTGCTGGTCACAGCCAAGAACTGTGACCTGGTATGTGAAGTGGGACAAGTGCTGTGGGCTGTGCTTTATCCAGACCTGTGTCTGCAGTACTTGCCTGCTAGAACTATTTCGATTAAAACCTACCTTGACTTACAAAATAATGTTACAGTAGTTGTCATGCACAACATAAGACTTGATAAGAAATTGTACAGGTTAAGGAAAATAGCGAGAGTCAATAAATAGATCAAAAAATAAGAAAAATTATTTATAATTTTAGACATCTGTACAGATTGCATTAAGAGGTCTTGATTTTTTTCCAGTTAAATGGCCCGTTGTCAACTGTTTGGCTAAAATTCTGTGCTTTGAACGTGATACTAAGGTTATTCTAATAAGATAAGAGGATTTCTCTACTTCCACTTACTAATGTTTGTAACATCAATAGATAAGTTGAATTTTGTGAAAAGTGTTTTATTTTGGTTTTTTTGCTACCTCCTTCTTTTTAGCCTAAAAAAGTATTATAGGTATCTGTGATTTAACAATTTATACATCACACAGGTGACTGAAAACTGGACTCATACTCCTGGAAGTAATGAAAAGATTGAAAATGGACAAACAAAAATTTACATACAGTACTATTTCTATGGTGATACACTTTCAGAAAGGCATGAATAGAAATGATTCTAAGATTTAACAACTGTTATGCTCTGTGTTTAAGTTCTTATGGATTTAAGCTACCTGGAAGGAGAGCAGAAAAGTATTCCAGGAAGATAATGCAGCCTACTGAGTCCAAACTGGCATGGTTCTGCTTACATGTCCTCCTTCTGCCGCCAAAACTGAGCCCAGGAGATGATTTGGCTAAAATGAACCCCATTGTTTTAGGGCTGTTTTCCAGCAGAATCAGCGTGTTGTGTCGCTGACTGGGTACTGATGCTGGTGTGAGCCAGGAGGCAAGCCCAGAGCTGGGAGCAAAAGGGGAGAATGGTGCTGTAGAAATCAAGATGAAGATCAATCCTAGTTGCCATGGAACTATTGTCTTAGGTGTCCATTTCTGTTGTGGGGTGTCTCCATTGTTTTCTTGTGCATGTCTTTGTGTTCACCTTTGCTAAGTGAGTCAGTACTAACTGTCACAGATGTCCTGATTCTGAATATGTTCTCTGTAACCAAGAAAACTTAATGATATTGCAGATTTTTTTACTGACCTTATAAAAGTTTGTTGCTGTGAAGCTTGTGTTGAAATTTTGTCATTGTGTCATTGCAGAATTAGAAGTTGTTTTTGGGAATGTGCTGCTGTTGACAGTATGCTTATGAATAGCTGATTTCTACTGTTAATGAAAGAGATAAGAAATTCTTTGACTTTGATGCATTTTGTTCCTAATTATTCAGAAGATGTGTTTTATGCTCTGGTGCAAAGTGTCTCACCAGAATGATGGTGTAATTCAAGATTTTTAATGTCTTATTGTGTGAAGCAAAGTGGAGCCATTTGTCTTCATGCATTTGAGGTCATCATCTGTGTGGACAGCTTGACTTGTCCTTCATTTGGAAGGAGCAGCTAGTGGCTGAACAGGGGAGTTATACATTAGTTATGGTTTTCCTTTTGGGTTTTTCAGTAATTTTAAGGGATTTGCATTGCAGATGTAGGTTTTGGGTCTTTTAAATGGTACATGTTGAGTATTGATGAGGACTGTTGCACTTCCCATTGACTTTTTCTGTGCAATACTGTTAATGATGGTGAAGTTCCTACCTGATGAAGTCAATCTCTGACTCTTGTTTTTAAAAGAGCTTCTTGGGGGAGAGAGATTCCTTCCCCCCTTTGTTTAACTGTACTTTTTAAAAACTAATTTGCTTTTGGATTTCTTTTTTTTTGTTAGTTAGGACTTGTGGGCTAGAGGCAGTCTGTCAGTTTATTCTATTGGCTGAAGCAATCATTTGCATCTTATAGAACAAGATCAGATGTTGTTCTTTGAACTTGGATACTGTTTGTACTTGAAGAAAGGCAACTTTATCTCATCAGCTCTGAATACATATTGTATTCAAAGTAATTGTGTGAGTATGTAAAGACACATTATCTTGGGACAGCAAACTTGGACTTCTGTATACTCTTGCTGTGTGCAGTACAGTATTTCAAGTTGGACTGGCTTTGATGTCTGTGCTATTTTTCTCAATTCATGCAATAAAACTTAAATCTTTATTTGAAAAGCAAAAAAGCACAACCTACTGGAATGCCTTCCATAATATTCTGGTTGATTTGGTAATAATGCTTTCAATATCTGGAAATATCAGTATTTTTTGACTTTTGGTACAGGGGGAAAGATCTAGGAGAATGTGTATTTTAACTAAACTTTGTACAAACACAGTTTTTGTATAAGCAGCTTTCTCCTTGTTAATGAAGGAATAGTACTTTACACACCTATTGTTTAATTTTAAAATACTTTTAAGTGCTAACCTGTAGTTTTGTCCAGATAAGTTTATTTTAAGTCTTACAGATCTCACTGGTGAAGAAGTCTTATTCTGATTCAATGCCTGGCCCTTTGAGCTTACCTCCCTCATAGAGCTAGGAATGTCTGCCTGGGAATGGAACTGGTTTTAATCATATGGCAGATGAACTTTTGATAGTCTGCAAATTGTGTACAAGCACATCATGCCATATGGCAGAGAACATGCCCAGTGCATGATGAATGTCGCCTAACTTTTAGCTAAGTGGCAGGCGTATGTCTCAGTAGCATCTTGTCAGGAGGGGTTTGACCAAAGCACAGGTGTCCCCTGTCGTATGGTTGCATGGCAGTGTTTTGTTGGGATCACACTGTGGAGGAACAATTCTGGTCTCTTCTGCCTGTCACACACCAGGACACTTCTGGGCAGGCTATTTGCTCTGTTGTTCCTGTAGTGCTTCCAAAAGAGGAGATATGACCCACTTTGGCTAAAAATGTGGGCATCTTAACTTTACTTGCTGTCTGTGGTGGAGTGCAGAAAATTGTCAGGGAAAGACATTTATTCATTCTTGATAGAGAAACAATGGGATTTTTTTTTCCTTTGTCTAGTACTGTCAATGGTTAACCTGCAGTGTAGCCCAGAAATGTCTGTCTTGTGAGAGGCCATGATGATCTGATCTACAATCAGTACTCTTATTCAAAACCTAGTCCCTTCATTCTTAATGCACATTTTCTTGATTATGCAAAAAATGTCTGTTTAGAGTTAAACTTTCTGCCTCTTCACCAATGTTTAACAAAATGTCTCTGTGAAAACTCTTAATTTCTCTTAGAAAACCAGTTAAAAACCAGTTTGCATCAGAGATGTGATTCAGATTTTTGTGGTCGATTTTTCAAATGCTGTTATTAGCCAAATAACTGTATTTTTAAAATGCTGTTATTTAGCAAGTGATTCCAGTGTCATCCTGTGGTTTGATTCATGTTCCTGAATCATTCTGACTGTTGCCTGACTCTTGCAGAGCCTGACCAAGGGGTTCTGGTTTTGGCTTCTGTTCCACAAAGCATGCAGCCAGAGGCGAGTTGTCAGTGGAGAAAGATTTATAGTGCAGGAAGGCTGAAACAGCTGGGAGGTGAACTACACAGGGAATATTTGGATGTTGTTCTTAGTTTTGGGAAGGCAATAGGAAAAGTAGGACATCTAGTGATATCTAATGAACTTTGCTTCTATGAAATAGAGTGTGGTCACTACTGCTTATGAAGCTTCTTTTGACTTAGATTTAGTCTTTGGTGGGTTCATAAGAGATGCCAGTGATGCCAAGTTTCCTTGTGAGATAAGTGACATTTTTGTTTCATAGATTACCCACCACTCAAGGGTACTTTTGTTGTCATATGTGTGTTGGTGCTTGGGACATGATTTAAATT